ACGACCACTCATACGATCAATATCATATGTTAGTGATATTACTGGAATAATTTTTTTCTGTCCATCCGCAATTTAAAAATTTGGACGTAGGGAAGAGGACGGAGGAGAGGAGAGGACAGGGAAGGAGGGCGGGGAGGGGGAGGGGGCAGGGCATGTGAGGGAGCGACAGTATGTCAGACGGAGAGAGAAAAAAATCCATCGTTTCCACTTAACTGCAGTAAATCTATAGTGAAAATGCTCGTTTGTTATCTTTTTCGCACTTAGCAGACAGCCATGGCGAGAATGAGAGACCACAGATGGACAACATGTATTACTAAATGATACGTGCGCAATGCAAAGAAGTTCTGTTCTCATGCTGAAGGTAGAACTGTTCGACTTCGCCAGTGCAACAATCAATCTCTCTACGATTCGTTCATTCGTTTCGATGGTAAATTGGTAATTGTGCATGTCAGGAAAACTGAGCCCGCCACCAACTTAATTCTAAGCAATCCTTGGCAAACAAAAAATTTGAATTACATTTATATTTCCGTATTTTCAATAATTCATCCATATATTGCCCATAGCGTACGATTCACTAAACTGCTGGCAATTACATGTAAAATACATACGTCATGGGCAATATGTGGATGGTTTATTGGGAATACAGGGATATATGTGTATTTCAAAATTTATGTGAAAAGACAGCCGTGCCAGCTGGTGCCTGCTGTCGATTGTTCAAGTATCTCCGATTATCACAGAGATCAAAATTGGACAGAATTTTAAATTTGGCTTCACTAAACAGCTGCATTCGATGAAATTTTTGAAAATGTAGCACTTGTTCGATGCTCATGTATGTGTCTGCTCAGGACCGGTAGCCGGTGGGGGGTGCAGAAAAGGTTTGTAGAGAGAGAGTGCGGCACATGGGAGAGGGTGGCAAGGATGATAGGCAACCCGGGAGGGATGTGTGACGAAAATCCAGGAAACGAGTGCGGTAAAGATAAGTGCAATAGGAAGAGATAGGGGCGAGAAGAGGCGATGGTGTTCTGCTGGAGGGAATAGCATTGTTGCTGAGGGTGCAGGGAGGTATGTCATTGTTTGTGTGTGTGTGGAAATGTGCACAACGTGGACCAGTTTTTGCGCGGGAGTGATCGGCCAGTGGATGGGGGATGATGGGTGTGACCCATTGGACCCTTCTTGTTTCTTCCTGATTTATCCAGTCTAGCCGTTGGTGGACAATGTCCACACATGCCGATGCGTCGCTGACCCCGAATCCAGCGAAAAAAGCTGTGTTCTTTGTTTTATTGTTCCCGATTTCATTTGTTTTTTGATTTTGTTGTTTTTTGTGTTTTGAACACGTACACACGTGAATCAGGCGGACTGATGCGCCAAATGTGTGTTAAGTCACGTGATTTGACATGTAGAACTGGTTTTTTTACGCCTTTAGTATCGCTTATAACTTTGCTTAAATCCAGTAAATTATTTCACTGTTAATATTAAGTATCAAATATATGAGCTACGTAATCCGGCATGTGGAACATGCGTGATTTAGATGGCTCAACACGTTCAGCTGATAAGGATAAGGATAGAATAAAAACAATAATAATGACAAACAAAATCATGATAATGATAATACAAAATACTAACCTGCTAACAAGATAGAATACTGATGATCATAATAATCAAGGCGATAATGAAGATAACGATAATAGCAATAATGATAACAATAATAATAATAATAAACATTGACAACAATTAATAATAATTAATAACAATAGCAATAATAATAAACAGTGATGACAATTAATAATAATTATCTATAACAATTAATAATAATTAATAACAATAATAGTAATAATAATAACGACAGTGATAAT